GATTTCCTTTTCCTGTTCAACCACAGGCGAAGATTTGTTGCACAAGTGTTGCAGCATATGTCTGGGGTCCATGTCTTGTCCTGATCTCCAGTTTTGCAGCCAAAATAAAGGTGATAGGCTTTCTTAACCATAGTGGTTATACTGCGCTTTTGTGATGCAAAAGTCACTTAACGTCTGCTATGTTTGTGGTGATCTGCACTGTTCACACACGTACGAGGCATCTTTGCTCACTTTGGCTAAACAGAAATGTGTCCCTTTGCAAAATCAAACACTGACAAATAAGAGAGCATGACACTGTATGATTTCTAGAGCTGATATAGGGCAATTTGTTCTGCAGAGTGATGTAAGCTTTGTTATGATTGCATCATCCATGACTTCTAGGAATAACATAATGCAATTCATATCATGTATGACGCAATACCAGCTTCAGATTGAATCATTCATTGTTTTGTCTAAAAAGCAAGTACTGTCCAAACCCAGTCATAGATTTATTCATAGATCCAGTCAAAGATGTATTTTAGTCATTTCTGGTTTAAATTGAGATCCCTTCCCTTTATAATTCACTTATCCTCCGCCATTCCCAAGTCAAGGGTCGTATATACTGACCCAATAGCATATCTTGAAAACTAGAGCCAATCAACAATTTGAAGCATCATTTTCGTTCTCAGTGTCTCAGAATTAGTAAAGTTTTGACTACATTTATTTCAGAAGCATTTTGGCTGTAGAGCAGTGTAATTAACAAAAACCAGTATGTGCCTTAGAAGAGATTACAGTCCAAATAGCCAAGACAGGTGAAGTGTGGGAGACCACAGGTATCATTTTATAGATAGGGGACCTGGGGCAAGGCATCTGTGGAACAGCCAGGAGTTGAACCCAGATCTCCTGAATCCCAGTTCAGGATCTTAATTGTAATATCATCCTTGTAGTTCACTTGAAGAATTTAATATGCTTGTAATCCATTTTGTAAAAACCACACTTAGCCCAAATATTTTCTGACCTTCAAAGCTCTACAAACTGAAGGTGATGAAAGTGTAGAGGAGAAAAGCAGATCTGAAGAAGGAAAAAGAAATCATTGGCAAGTGCAATCCCCAGTTTGCATTATAGAACATCCAGAATCTTCCAGGTCTTGGTGCTCAAGAGCATCGTATACTCAATGAATGGTATAATTTAAAGGCTAGATGTTTTTAAATGGCGTGTGCCCAAAAAATGGAAATTGTGCATGCAGGCTTCTGCATGCTGAAAGATGTTTTGTATGACACATTCCTAGCTATGCATCTTATTCCGTGCCTGATCAGAATGAATGAAGTCATGGGGTATAGTTTTTCAAATGGTATTTTTCATTGTTTGGGCAGTTATGGCTGTCTACATGCTAACTTCAGACAAATCAACGGTAGGGTATTGTTGGAGAGCATTTTTGTATTAAGGTTTTTATATGTTTGTTTTGAGGTGAAGAAGGGCTTTGTCAATGTCTCCATTTTCTGAAAAACATGAGATTAGATCATCCAGAGCCATTTTTTTTAAACATATTCTGTAAAATATAAGTACAAATACTAAGAGTATGGAGTGGTAATTAATGAGAGCAGTTAGCAGTGAGTTCGGAGGGCTCATCTTCATTCTCGCTGAGGCCAAGCAATAATAAATACCCATTTAGCCTGCTATCCTAAACTGATTAACTCTATCATGCTTCTCATACTGCTAATAGAACTCCCTCCAACTGCTTAATAAAGTGAGTGCAGTATGTCCCATTACAAGTTGCATTCTTTCCTTCATTCCTTAAGTACCCCTTTTAGCTGTAAAAATGTTTCTATGTACAGTAACTCCTCGCTTAATGTTGTAGTTATGTTCCTGAAAAATGCGAATTTAAGCATTTAAAGATGTTAAGCGGGGTTAGGTTCCAGGGAAACTTTTTTCACCAGACAAACTATATATTGTATAGATATACACACAGTATACGTTTTAAACAAACAATTTAATACTGTTCACAGCTATGACGATTGTGAAGCTTGGTTGAGGTGGTGAAGTTAGAGGGTGGAAGAGGGAGGAATATTTCCCAGGGAATGTCTTGCTGCTAAATGATGAACTAGCAGTCGGCTGAGCCCTCCAGGGTTAACACATTGTTGTTAATGTGTGGGGATGTAT